ACCAGTTCATCATGGTTTACATGTTTAGTGTTTTTAGTAAAACTACCAACCTCTGCAGAAAGCTCAGCCTTCTTTCTTTCTTCACACTTTTTCTGGAARTCCATAATCTTTTGTTCTGATTGTAAACTCCATGTTTCATTGTCTCGTTCTGCTTGGCCRAAGAATGTCTTATCAACAAACTTTAGCTTTTCAGCTGAAATTTATAAATAATTTAAATTTAAAGCAAAATCAACAAATGGTTAAAAYGTGTGAGTCAGTTTTGAGCTACATGTATTTTGTTGGCACTGTCCAGCACCGCAGCTCATATAATGGTACCGTATGTGCAGAAGTGACTGACAAACTTCCATGAACACCTGACACTAGAAATGATGAATCCTCTATTGGAGAGGCTCAGAATGAAGAGCATTAACATGATAAGCACCTGGCCTTTGACAACATCAAGTCAACTTCAAAAGTTTAAGTTATCACAACTAGAAACTGGGGACACATTATTGCTTACAACATCAAATTGGTAATAGATGAAGAGACCCATTATTGTAGGTTGACACTGCTGTCACCAATTTATGCTGGCTCATGTTTTCACAGTCCATTCTTAGCACATTGTATATTATATACATGACATAATAATTGGTTTAAAGGCACTTTACAGGAATGGATCCTGAAATTTGTCAAAATGAACCAATGTAATGCTGTTGCCTAACATGAAGATTGTTCTGGTATTTGAAACCACCATATTACATTTGTACATCTTAAAGTGAAAAAGCTTGCAAACCTGGTAAATCATGGGTAGGTAGGAGTCATTATTTAAACATTATAATGCAATAAGCAGTATTTCAAAAAACATAAATAAATAAATAGAATGAGAGAATGTTTGTTGCAATAGCCCCAGTGTCCAGTGCATGGAAACCTTGGATCTTCCCTGCTAAGTAATACTTCCTGAATACAAATGGTAAACAAATGATATATTGCTAATGTAACGACATTACATACATGTATTATAGACAGAACTCACCAACAGAAGGCGACTTGACAGAATGACAATCATCTGTTTGAACTGCTGAGCTTTGCTTATTGTGTCCACATAAYGAAGAAAACTGGGAAACTATTTCCCATAAGAAACCTGAAAAAAATCATCACATCAAATCACAAGATCAAATCAGCCTGATAGCTACATGCACAGTGTGTCAAGCATTATAAAAGATTCACTTACTTTTAGAGTTAATTTTACTGGATAAGGAGCTTTCCTGAAAAAAAAAAGATTGTTCTTCAATGCAGAATCTACAGCTGCGCAACCAGACACAGACATGAATGCATTATATAAAGCCAGTTTCTTCTATTATTGCAAATAATGGTCATAAACATATCATGGGCTATGGTTACAATAATTGAGTATACTGGTATATCACAATCACATTTGATACACATTAGATGCATCTTCAATGATAATATTACAAGAAACAAAAGATTGGCCAGAGTAATTTGCATTCAAGTCTGCAGTCGGACCTGTATAAAGGAATGCATTCTTAATGGATTAAAACAAACACTTACCAAGGACTTATACAATTGAGAATCTTGATCAACTTTAAGCAAATGCAAAAGATCCTTCACTGTATATATCTGAAAAAAAGTGCAGTAAAAAATGTATGTGTGAGATCGCAAGGCAGTACATGCCAGTTATAACTTACATGTACTATAGTTAGTAGTACATATTGTATAATATAGGAAAAGCGCACTTCAGAATCCTAAGCAATGATTGCCCACATATTGTTCAATGCATGCTACTGTTAAGTACTAAGGGTGCTACAGAGTCTCACGAGCATGGGGAGGGTGGGCACATCTAATAACTTTATAATAGAGGGTAAAATTGAAATTGACATTTTAACTACATTTGTAAGTGTGTCCTCAACATCCCTGAAGAATCCTGTACCCTTGTACAACCATCTTTGAAAATGTCTTATATACTGCATATATTTTACCTTATCTCTTGATGTTCCACATTCAGGTAGGAAAACAGACAACGTGTAATCAAAGTTACATTTCTCTAGATGGTCCACCACTAAACTATTGGCCGCATGATAAAACAGCAATGGCTCCTCGGGAATTTTCTTCTTGCCATTTGCAAGATTTGCTTTTGCTGTTTGTTGTAGCTCATTCACTAGACGATTCCTAAGCTGAGACTTTAAAAAAATATAATGAACTTAATTTAACTGGAAAGAAAGTGTTGACAAAACTTGTTTCGTTTGTAAGCACAGATACGAGGTACAGATGAACAAATGGGTTGCTTTGCAAACTTGACAACAGGTTTTAGCAGAAAAACAATTTTTAGCAGTGATCTTAACAGTCCCTTAAATTCTTATCAGAAATAATAAACTACTCTTCAGYAAAGAAAGTTGTCAACAATCGCACCTTGAGTGATTCGAGGACGCCTCGACTTTGAAAGGTATGAAAGAGCTTTTCTCGAAGGTCATCCGCACTGAGTTCTTTATCATCCATGAAGAAGGCTTTGATTTAGTTATAAGTGCGCATATAAGCACCAAACACAATTTCAAGATAGCTTTTGATTAGAAAACGTGAAAAACTTTACAAACAAACATCTTGGCCGCCATTTTTCTCTTCTTCGGTTAGCCGCTGACTTTTTATTGTTGGCTCAATATTGAAGTTTTGGCGCGAAATTACTGCAGCCTCGTTCTGGTGTTAATTTTTCTTTTCGTCACATTCTTTTCTTCTTCTTCTTTCTTTCTTTTAAAAGCATCTTAAAATAGACCATATTCTAGGCCCTTGGCCATTTCATTTCATTTTGGAAAAATACAAAAAAAAAAAATAGATTGAAATACAAAAAAAGCAGGCTCCTGAAAAAAGAAAAAGGAAATGAACAGACTTTAACATGTATTTATTTTCATTTCTTTCTATTTACAGCTTTRTTATTTTGGTCCTAATATCTGGACAAATTTCCTGTTTATAATAAATACTAACGATCAACGTAGTCCGCGTTTCAACCAGAATATATATTTATCGGAATTGTTCGATAAAATTCTGGATGTAATGCAGGCTACGGCAAAGCGCAGTTTACCCACTTTATCTGAAAACTTTTACTAACGATACTTTGCACTAATGAAAATATTACTAATAAGAAATGAGATGGCGAGATTTTTCAAAGCTCCTCATTATCCAAGTTTGCGAGGGTCTTTTAGCGTGATCATATTTCCCGCCAGTCAAACCGAACAGAACTTCACACTCCATTCAATTTTTAGCTTCATAAGTAGTTCGATGAAGTTCGAAGCTATGATTGACGGCAGCAAAAACACCTAATTATCGGTCAGCGTTCGACATTTTCTATTTGCAAAAAGTTGTTGAGAGAATAAAGAGAATGCTTTTTTTTCTCTAAAATTTAAAATCATGGTGCATTGTGGTCTTGCTTTAGTACTACAAACAACACCCCAATTTGGCACGATGAACAAAAGTTTGTATCGAATAATACTATGCGTACTGTAACTTTAGGAAGGCCACGAATGTGATCAAAGCACAAGAAACCAACCAATGACTATCGATTGTCTCCCATCAAGCATTCTTCATTCTCTTATTATTATTGCAAAATTAAGGTGAGCAAGCGCATTATAAATAAGTTCAATCCGTGGTTATGACATTGTGAAAAATGCGCTATATACTGATTGCAGCATCATTGCTAGCATAATATCCTAGAATTTTAAAATTGCTAACTTCTAAAAAAACGAAAAATTGTCGGTGATTTGGTAACCGCGATTAAAATCAACGATAAAAGTTCAAACGGCGTACTTATATATTTTTATTTGAAAAAGCACATTTAAGTCGATTGAAGCTTTACTGTATTGTCTCAATGCACTGTATTCCACAGAGTGCGATACGCTGTCCATGAATATATTTGAAAAACGCCGTGTGAACTAAATCTTAAGSCCCGTTTACACTTGTGATTTTTGCAGCGCAAATGTCGCGCGACAAGTCTCAAATCGTACAGTCCTGCGATTGTCGCGGCGATCGAAAATCGCCGCGAGTTGCAGCTAAATTTCAAGTATGTTCGAAACTCAGGCGATAGTCGCTACAATCGCGCTTAAAAAATCGCAAGTGTAAACGGGTCTTTAGAAATAAGTTACAGTTTAGTACGAGCATGCCCAAACTGTAAATTAAGAGYTAATCTCGTCTCCAGACCCTATCCCAACTTAGCCACGTCCGTGAAAACTAGAAATAGGGTCTGGGGAAGAGAATGATAATCTGGACATCACATGCTTTACGTCAGAAAATATATTATTTACCAATACTGCAGTTTCGAGATCTTATTTGTGCAGCCTTAACSTCGAAAGCATGTAATATATTTTTTTATTCAGCAGAGAATTTAATGTAATGCAAACATTCTGTGCACAAAGAAGACAATAACAATTTATGCTTGATCAAGAAACTAAGCTTGCACAAAAGAGAACTTGAAACTGGAGTATTGAGTTAGTGTTTCCACTATAATCTGTCTTTGGACTATTTTTAGGAACTATCATCGTCCAATTATAAACTACTGGTGGAAGGTTAAAATCCTAATAATTGTCGCGCAGAAGGCACTTTTTTACAGGTTTGCAAACAAATGATAATAAAAATGACTTTTAAATAATAAAAACACTGATAAAATCTTTAATAAATCAGAGTTTCACAAATATCGGCCATCAAGGCTCTCGTAAAAGAGTGGGGATCAGGAAAAGAACGAGGACAAGCTTATAGTGGAACACATATTTGTTATAAGTCTTTTCCTTGTTTCCCTTGATCTTTACTTTTTCTGGTCAAGAGATCATTAACCAAATCACAGATAAGAACTCAAAAAGAATCGTCCTCTTTCACTATGACGTCACATCAAGACATTATACAAGTAAACGCAATGGATTATGGGCACCAAGATGAAAAAAAAAAACACAATAAAATGACATAGGGGAATTTAAACTTAGACTCGATCTAATGCTAAAATGCATGGTAAAACATTGTAAAATGGTTCTAACTTGAATAAAGGTAAGCTTCACACATGCATGGTGCTATTCTTGAATGTGAAAACACAACATTTACGTTGCATAATACCGCACTAACAAGCTGCCAGACTATGGCCAGACGTAATGTTAAATATACGTAAGATACGCACATGCATGGTGCTGTTTTGAAATGTGAAAACAACGTTTACGTTCCCTAACAAACGCACTAACGAGCTACCAGGTGCTACGTTTAATTCAGTCAGAAATTCATAAGAGGTTTTAAACGAACAACCACATTTTTTTGTGAATTTGCTTTGAATGATCCCGAGCATAGTGCAGTAAGTACACGTTTAAATCCMCTTATGTATTTCCGATTCTTTACTAGTACAATAACCTGATTGACCATAGTTATCCGATGTTAGCCAATCATGCACGGCCTTATACGGTACCCGACAGTCTCTGATTCAAGGCTGATGGGGTTCCTGTTCCTGCAGGATTTGACTGCAAAGCTATGGTTTAATAACAGCCTTCTTGCCAATTTTGGTCGCTTTCTGGAGCATAGTAAGAGCTAGCGGCTCGAGGCGTTGGGATTCGTCTGAAATTGATAAATAACAATAAAAGGTTTATGTCTAGCACCACAATCAACCAACCAGGCTTTATTTTGATTCCCTAATCGATCAGTAGTATAGGCTGCACAGACAAATCTCCTCACAAAATTTGAGGAGGGTAAAATAATTATATTCAGTATTTTTTGAGGAGGGAGTTAATTTATTCACACTAATGACGTAACCTATTGTTCTCCCAAACAAAAGAGAGAGTTATAAAACAGCACTTACAATGTAAGCTTTACTATCATTTACATTTTAACGGTTGAAGATGTTTGGTCCAGTGAATAGAGCTATGATTGAACATGTTGAAAAGGCTGAACGTTCTTTTCTGCTGGAGCTGATATCAACGGTATTGCAACTCTCTTATGCTTCTTTATGCGARCATCAAATTTGGGAACTGATAAATTCTTCGTGTGAAGGCTGCAAACTTCAACTTCCAGGCAAGAAAGATCATATTTGCATGATGACCAATAATGGAGAAGCATYCAAGCAGTATTACGACGAAGCCACGCAGTTAGTGGATTCCAATCGAGTTTGGGAATTAGCCAATGAAGTATGTGGGCACGAGTACCTTTAAAACCTCGATATCCAAATTCACCCTTCCTGGCGAGTTTATACTCCTGAATTTTACAAGCTTCCTTGGACAACCGTCTATCTGCAGAACATTCTTCAGTTTGAAAATTGCGCTCAACGAACGAGGTCACCTCGTGATCAAATCATAGAAGTTTTGATCAAAGGTCCATTGAGAATTTATCACAAGAAAACTATATTAAAAGCTTCACAGATTACTTGTCCGGAAGAATTTCGTTGCCATTGTAGAGAGCGCATGGRTCAGAGTTAGTCATTATTATTGTAAATTACTCAACTGTTTTTATAAAACCAATAAATCTTATTGTAAACAGTCTTTCAGTCTCTTCTTCTTGTTGGTGTTATTTCAGTCTATTACGATTAATCACTTCAAGAATCCGTTTGGACCACCACATTTTGAAGAATCAAGTGAAAGATAGAAAATGGCGTGTTAACAAGCGCATAGCATTTTGTCAAGGTTCAACGATCGTATAAATTATTATCTGGACAGAGAAAAGGTTAATGATTGCCTTTGTTCTTAGACAATAGGTCACCTGCTAAAGGAGTTTGAATAACCAAAGTAATGTTCTTTTTACCTTTTTTATATTTCTAACTCCTTTTATCTGTTTCATTTTTTTAAAGTCACAAATTACTTGGAAAAATTCTGAATGCTCCGGAAAGGCCCGGAAATTGGTCCGGAAAGGCTCGGAAAGGTCCGGAAAAAACCCGGGCTGTCCGGGTGGCCCGGAAATGGCCCGAAGCGCCCCCGGAAAGACTCCGGGAATCTTTCGGAATGACCCCGGAAAAGAGATGAGAATGGGATTAGAAACCATTTTCCGACGCAAACCATTGCTGTAAAACATTTTATTCCATAAACTTAAAGTTAAGGTATTACATATGATATATTTTTTGAAAACATGAATGGATCGTTGTTGACCTATTTTTATTTCCATTGATACATCATTGTATTTGCGATTATTATTATTAATATATCATAGTTTGAAACCAATCCAACAGAGAATCTTGTGACTTGTGATACACTATGTTACACCATCTACTGTAGCTAATAGTATAGAAGGTTTCAACTTCGTAAAAGCTTTCCAAAACGTACCATATTAGAAACTTGATAGTTCTTCCATTGGCGTTTGAAAATGGATGGACGGCAAGGAAAGCTAGGACAAATTCGGCAAGCGCCTCTAAAACCTGGCAGCAATAAATGGTTTTATAATTAAAACAATCCACTATAATTTGCATTCTAGACTGAATATCCTTTGGATCGCAGTACCATATTTCCTGACCCTGGTAAGTGGTCATTCTCTGGTTTGTGCAATAAGCACACAGTTTATCGTTTTGGAGCAGTTTATTATTGATACTGATGATTATTTCATGTTCCAAAAGGCCTTTGTCAGGATAATTCAAAAGTTCCTCGAGATATTCCTTGGCCTCTATTGCTCCTTGCATTGATGACTGGTCAAAGTGCTCTTCGCTATTCAAAATCTCTCTTTCTATTGTTAGCATGTTATCCGGCAATGCAAGCCTTCAATCAAAACCACTAAAATTACGACTGTAGGGATGGAATCTTTCGTTTACGCTTTGTTTTGGGACTTCTTCTTTTGTGAACAATTTGTTCAACAAAAACTTTCTTTGATGAATGGCTGATTGGGTTGCTTCTTCCCAGTCATAGCTCTCCATATCCATAAGGTTTTTCTGTTTTTCTATTATCTTTTTATAAATAGGATCTCTTTTGAATAGATGCATCCACTTTAGCTCGTCAAACAGAACCTCCCTCAGCGCTTTTCTATATGAGGGAAGCAAAGCATTATTTGCTCTGATTTCTGCTGCGGTATCGGTATCGCCATTTTGTTTGTATTTCTGAACCAGTACTTCATATTCTTG